AAAAAGTAAATCAGAGCTAAAAAAGTGCAAAAACACAGGCAAATTTGCCTGCGTTGGTCTACATATTAAGGGATAAGAATTTTGTAGAGAATCAGTTAAGAAAAGCCAAACAGGTGAAAGTCTCAGTTGAAGAAGTCGAAGCTAGTGAAGTTGTAGATGAGCTTGTAGCAAATGTAGCTGTAGGTGGTGTAGAAGTAATTGATATAGAAGACATAGTTAGAAAAGAAATAGAAGCTAAAATTAAAGAAAGCATAGAATTAGGAAACATGGAAACTATAATGGAAGAGGAAGTTGAGGTCATAAATGATGAGGAATGTATGATTAATCTTGTTGGAGTTATCAGGGCGATGTCAAGAATTTTTTATGAGAGTGAATATATACAAAAAGAAGAACCTATATATTCTTTTGATGAAATGCGAGAATTACTAACACAAACTTATCCAAGCTTAAAGGATTTTTTTAACCAGCTTTATTTATTAGCTTGGCTATTTGAACGTTGTGAGAAAACAATCAGGCGTATGAAAAAATTGATGGTGTTTTTATGTTATCTTCTAGTGTTATTAAATAATTCTAAAATTAATTCTTTTAAGTTTGATTTGGCATATTATTTAGATTCTACAGGTAAAAGCAATGAAGGTCTGAATACTCTAGCAAATCTTGGAATAACTACAACTGCAAGAGTAGTAGATCATAGAAAGAAACAAATTTCAGAGGTGCATGAAGAATATATAGAGAAAGTCCTTGAGAATTGTTCTGAAAATATTTTTATATTGAATATTGATGATTATTATAATATTCATGTTAACTGACAACCTGATACTACCAGCACATCTTGGGCAGCACACATGGCAACAATTATTGTGAATCCATGCCCCACATTAGCTATACCACAAAATGAGCACTCAATCCAAAAGTCGTTGATGATGAGCTAATTATGAAGCATCTTAACGAACGATTTATTGTAAATCTTGGAATTTCTTACTATGATTGTAGACAAAAATATATAGGTAAGTGTTCTGATGATAAGCTTATGGAAAGACTAATATTGCACAGCTATGATGACAGATTGGAAGAAAAAAAGAAGAGCAACAGGCATATACAGAATGCTATTCTTTTTGATTTCATCAAAAGCCACTTGAAGAATGTTGAAGATTATACAAAAGCTCTCCAAATCGTGTATAATTAAAAGCTGATACAAGAATATCTTTCTAATAATATAATTCCAATTGTTGCTGACTGGCCCGGGCAGTTCTTTATTTGCAAGGCTATTGCACATCGGCTTCTTCTTAACAACAAAATAATCCTTTCATATGTTATGGCATTTATACCTATGATGGGACCTCTTCACGTTTTCTTAAACAGTCGTGAGCTCATTTTTAAGAAGAATTGGTTTTTATTTAATGAAGTTTATAAAGATATATTTGGACAAAAAAAAGAACTTGGTAAAAAGCCATAGCCATGGCAAATTGATTTAATGCTGCACATTATACACATGGCGTGGCTTGATATTTCTGATTTGGTTTATTCAAAATTTGGTCGTACTTGTAAGAATATTGAATTCTTATCTAACCAATCTTTTGAGTAATTTAATCCCTTTGTTCTTGAAGTTTATGCGGTACACCATCAAGAGGGTAACTGGCCAGCTTACGAAGAGGCCTGTATGTGCTGTTGGAGTGATCTTTTTCTTCAATTTGACTGAAGGAATTATAAGCGTACACCTTTAATGTTTTTCTCTGATATTTTTTACTGGATGAAAAAAAATCATCCCATGTTTGAAATAGTTACTAATAATCTTTCTTCTTTAAGCGATTGTTCTGTAGAGCTTGTTCACAGTATAATTCGACAATGTACAACTAAGTTTTCTGAGGCAAATCAATTGCAAAAAGAGACATGCTTTATTTTTCAGCACTGGGGAGACAATACTTTTTGACAATATTTTGTGAATTCAATTAAATATCCTTGTTCTCCCAAGCAATTGCACACACTTTATCAAAAGTGTGCTACAATACTCCTAAACACATTTAAGAAGATATATCGAGGATGCTATCTATATTCTTCTATTATTAGTTCATCAGACAATATTAACACTTATAATTTGCCTTCTTTAGGTTATGAAATAACAGATCGTCATTTACCAAGAGGATTCGTTACATCAAGAAAGCCTTTTACAACTATCTTATACAATTATATGCATTGCGACCGCACCAATTGTTCTGACTACTCAGATAATAGAAAAGTTCATACATGTGGGCATGGTTATCATAATTATTGTTTAGAAAAATGTAATTTAAAATGTTTGATTTATCTTGATTATCTTCGGGGTGAAGTTTCAAAAAATATTAATGCTTTACGAGTAAGTATGAGGAAATGAATTTATAGAAGAAGATTTTGGGGTGTAGTTGAGAATGATTTGGATAATTCCGAAACAGCAATCAATGATGCTGCAACAATAGAGAATTTAGAAAATGCAAAAAAATCTTTTATTAAGTTGTAGTGTTTTTTATTAAAAAAAAAATTGTGTAATTATTTTTTTTATTAAATAAATATTTTAACATCAAAAAAATACATTCATCTTTAAGAAAAAAAAGTTGCGATTTTTTTAATTAAGCACAGTATTTAAAAATTGTAAGTTTTTTGGGTGTGTACAGTATTTGAAAAAATCGAAAGTTTTTTGGTGTGCGCAGTATTTAAGTTTTTTTTTAATAATCATCAGTAAATCGCATAATTTACAAATTCTTATCACATAATTATTATTCTTATCACATAATTATTAAGTATCTAAGTTTTTTTTTTAATAATCATCAGTAAATCGAATATTTTGCATATACTGCACGCATAATTTACAAATTCTTATTGCATAATTATTATTCTTATCGCATAATTATTAAGTATTTAAGTTTTTTTTTTAATAATCATCAGTAAATCAAATATTTTGTATATACCGCACGCATAATTTACAAATTCTTATCACATAATTATTATTCTTATTGCTAATTATTATATATGTATATTAAATTTTTAATCAAATTTCATAGGTTGGGATATAGTATTGTAAAACATATAAAAAAAAATTGTTTATCAGTTGTGTAACAATCAGGTGACTCAGGTCATTATTTCCATATTGGGGACGGTCTCACCTGAAGTGACCGTCCCATCAATTTGTAGATAATTATACAATTGATAAAGGTTTTTTTTATATTGTTTTACAATGCTTTTTTAGGAAGTTCATGTAACTTACCCCCACTATGAAACTCAAAGAAAGCTGCTAAGTAAACTTGAAGTATTCGAAGTGCCCTACAACATATTTATTTAATCCCT